AAAAAATACAATAGCATTTATAGGTAGCAAGCAACTGTTGCCCAAGCATAAAGCTTACAGAATATCAGAAGACAAATATCAATTGAGAAATTAATGGGGCTTGCAATGAAATTATGGTTGTTAGAGTCCTGTAAGGGAGTGAACTCACAGGTTGTTTAATTGTTGAAGGTGAAACAAAGGGTTTGTTTGTCCACATCATTAGAATTTGGGGATTTTGTACATGTTGATATGGGTGTTGGTCTTTAAATGATCTAATAACTTATATTTTTTATAAGAAATTTTGAGTATTTCTTTCCAGTGGTGTTGATATTTTGACCTCATAGATTTGTTATGGACGATGATTTAGAAGATAATTTTAGGGAGAGAAAGAGATGAGGGGAGTGAAGGCTTGAAGAGTCACGTAAGGATGAAAAGTATATATGACATTTTTGTTTTTTAATATTAATTTATCAGGATGTGAGAGCAGTTTCCTGTAAATTTTATTCAAAAATTTACTAAAGCTTTTAATTTGATATGTTTAAAAAGTTATGATATGAAAAGATACAATTAAAGATATAGATATTAGTTTTGAGTATAGTTACCAGGATCACTTAACCCTTGGTCTAAGTACTGAATGTTTTAAACTAGTTCATGATGTGTATTTCTTAGCGTTCATTTTTCATCTCAATTTGGATTTTTAAAAAGTTAGAATCTAAAAATAAGAAAAAATGGAGCAAGATGGTAAATAGTAAAAGGAATAATGTATGGGAAGAAAAGAGTAAAAAGTTCACATTTTAAGAAACTTCCTTTCAAAATTGAGATTTTATTACGAGTTAAATAAAGGAGACATGTGTCCAAATAAATAGCAAACGCCGATCAAATAACATTTTCTTTATAGAACTTGAAATATTTTTAATCATCTTCTTTAAAAACTAATAATATATAAAGTGAGTTATTCAGGAATTTACAATGAGTATCAATATTCTTGTTAAAGGATTTGAATCAAACATCTCTTCTTATAAAAAATGTAAAATTAATTGGGATAATTGCTAACTTAGAGATTTGGGAATAAAAATAAAAATATTACTCCTAAGATTTCCTAAATATTATAGTTAGTAGATTTCTTAGATATTATAATTAATAAATTTTAAGCAACGCATTTAAGAGTTTGAATGTATTACTTTTTTTTTTTAAGTAAAAAGGTTTGATTGCATTATAAAACTAGAAAATTGAGAAATCCCAAAAGTATTTTATTGAATAATTGAATTCTTCTCCAAGAAGTGAAATTTCAAAGACATTTATAATGTTCTATAAGTAATTTTCACTAAATTGGATAAATTAAGAAATATTAAAACTACTAAGATTCGATATACTACTTCTAATAAAATAGAATATTAATATTAATAAAAATAAAAATTTAAAATTACTAACATTATAATAGACTCATAAATACTAAAGTAGTTTACGTTAAATATAATTATAATTTATAATCTATTTAGGCAATCTAGAGGATTAAAGATTATGCTATAAATGGCTAAGCAAACAAGATTGGGGTTCCACTAAAGCCTTAATATTTATTGATTTCACTAGTTGAAAATGTTGTGTAAACATCCGTACCCACTAATATTGAAGTTCGGGTTGTTACAGACGAAACAACAACTTAATTCTTTGGTCTTATAATTTTGAAGACTTACATTGGTACTGTATAGTATTTTGATGAAAGTGATAGTTACTCTATTAAACAAATAGATATATATTTTACAGAGACGGAGATATGCAGTATATTTTTCATTGTTAAATTAATCATTTTGCATGTAAAGTAATAAAGTTGTCAAAACTATAGCAATTTAAAAGATTGCTCTTTGAAAGGTTTCTACTAGTGTTGTTTTCTACTTTTATCAAATTTTACAATATCTATGTTACTTGAAGTAAATAGAAATTATAGCTCTTGATTGCACTATGCAAATTAATTATCTTCTTATTAGAATTTGGGTAGGAAGACTCTTGATATTATTAAAGATTATTTTGAAAACTAATTAGTGATTTGGTTATTTTTAACATTAAATTTTATATTAAACGAGTACGGTTTTTTAGCAAGTAATTAAAATTGTTTAGTTAGGGTTTTATTTAAACATGAAATTTTTTAGTAAATTATATATATATATATATATATATGTATATATATTTAGATCTCTCATCTTTTGACTTTGATTA